TGTATATATGACATCTACAAATCCCTCCAAACTTCAACAGTTTTTATCTCTATTTTATCCCCCCAAACCTAAAATACATGAACTTGATATAGGTAGGATTAAATGTGTATAGAATCACTCCCGATTATTGATTACACTGCTTACTTATTCTTAAGCTGTTAGACGGTCAAAAGAGAGAAGATGCCTACTGGCTATATATATATATATATCTTGTTATGACTGACTGATAGAAAGCTATCCTCATTAAAACATCAAAATTGAAAAAACATAGAAGCCTGTGGCTGCATTGGATTGGTATTTCTCATCAAAACCATTATAGAATCGGTGTTATTGATTGGCCCTTTATTATACCTACACTATCAGATATTTCCATTTTCACATTTCTTTTGCTGTATTTATTACATAAGATCTGCATTGTTATTACTTAGAAACCCTTGAGAAATTGACTCCTTTTTCCTGAGCATGATGAAGATAATGAATCTCTGACATTTAATTTCACTGAGACCTAGAACTGTGACTTACAACTCGTGAATTCTAAATCATATAATGAAGGGTACTGTATTTGACAGTAAATACAAATGTTGAAGGAAAAACAATTTCTGCAGCCCAAATTTTCTCTGAATCATAAAAATAAGAGTATCAAAAATGGAATTTTTTTTTTTATTTATACAAAATTTTAATAAAAAAAAAAGTGAATGGGATTGGACAGCAGGCAAATAGAAATGATTATAATCAAATTCAACAGTAGGGGTACCTCCATATAAACATTAACAGGCTTCGCAAGATGTGACATCTCTCTAGTCTATTAACATTTCTCAAATCAAATACAAGTACATTCAATTTACAATTTTTTTTTTTTGTTTTTTTTTTGTTTTTTTTTTGTTTTTTACCATTAAGATAATGATGATAACAAATATTAAATGCATATTCCTCCAAACTACTTATTACTATCAACTAAAGAACCTATGCACTGAGTTGCAATTTGATTTAACATGAACCTTTAAATCTGCAAGCAAATTGAATAAAGAACAGAAAAGAAATTTATAAGCATGGCAACTAGCAGTCAAATTTCATTGGAGCACATTGCATGCAATATTCTATAAAGGATGACTGCACTTAAGGACATGCGGAATTTGCGACAAAATAAACTTTCAAAACAAGCATTTTTCTTTTCATTGCAAGAATGGTCAACATCCAATCTACAACTTTATGTAATTACGTTGAATAAAAGTGTGTATTTACGAAGTTCGAATCTGTTTTCAAAGGCACGGGTCATCACAATTTCTTGAATCTCCGTTTGATAATGAGGACGCCCACTTTTTTACTGACTTTATACATAGTCAGCGCATGTTTGTCTATTGTTCTACGTTTAACAGTAGTTGTATATTTGCATAAATAATAATGTATCAAAAGGAGATTAATAGACAAACATGCGCTCATGGTTAAAAATAGAAAAAACTGCTTCTTCTTACATTCGCTCTCTGTGTTGTAACCAAGGATTGTGACATGTTGAATATTATAATTCACCACGTGATTTCTTATCTCAGGTAACTTTGTGAATACTAAATTCCGTCACGTGACTGGTAAGGTAGCATGTTTTGTGCTAACTAGGACATGTGTTCGAACACGTTAAGTCATCTGGCATTGATATAAAATCTGCTTTAATTACATTGACGTGCTCATATTGTTAATTTCGTTTGAAATTTTTGTCAGAATGTATTTGTGCCGTACAGAATGGAGAGTGAGATTGGAAAGAGTGATCACGTTCACTTTTGCAAACATGTCATTGTTATTTATCAAGTCTAATTTTAGAGCCATTCTTACAATGTTAGCTCCACCTCTCATGCATATCTAATGTTCAATCAAGGGCAGGTAAGTGTAAATTCACTACATTTGGAAAGCAGTAAGGACAAAAAACATTGAATCATTTTATTGTATCACAGTCTTAAGTCATTTTAAGATTTAAATTTGGATCCAAATTGACAGGATTCTTTCATAAACATACAAAAGTGAGATAAGGTTTAGATATAAAAGCAACATAAGCAACTGAAAAAGACCCAAAAACAGGCGTTAAGTGCAGTCATCCTTTATATAAGAATGACCACAAAATAATTGAATGCTATTGTGTTATAAATGTTTCCCAGTCATGCAAAGGTTCACTGCAACAAAAGTAAACAAGAGGCCCATGGGCCACAATGCTCACCTGAGTCAATATGGCCCTGCTGTTCTTCGTCAGCAGATTTCTTCTCCTATATTTCTCCAATATATTCATATATAAAGCTTTGATCGCCTGTTCTAGGCATACCCTACCCCAAGGTGCCATGTTTTGAATGAAATTGAATATAAACCTTCTGAGGATGCTTCTATCTTCATATAACTAATCATGATTTTGCTGTTCTTTAAAACAGAATTTTAAATATGTCTAACACCCTACCCTGGGGGGGGGGGGGGGGTCATGATTTGAACAAACTTGATTGTACACTACTTGAAGATGATTCCATATCAATATGACTGATCATGGCTTTGTTGTTCTTGAGATTGAAGAAGATTTTTAAAGATATTTCCTGTATATGTTCTATTGTAAAACTTTGATCCCCCATTATGGCCCCACCCTACCACTGGAGGATGCCTTAAACTAGCTTGAATCTACAATATTTGGGGAAGATTCCATATCAATATGACTAATTGTGGCTTTGTTGTTCTTGAGAAGAAGATTTTTAAAGATTTTCCCTATATATTCCTATGTTAAACTTTGATCCCCCATTGTGGCCCCACCCTTCTCCCGGGGGTCATGATTTGAACAAATTTGAAGCTACACTACTTGAAGATGATTCCATATCAATATGACTAATTGTGGCTTTTTTTGTTCTTGAGAAGAAGATTTTTAAAGATTTTCCCTATATATTTCTATGTAAAACTTTGATCCCCCATTGTGGCCCCACCCTACCCCTGGGGGTCATGATTTGAACAAACTTGAATCTACACTACTTGAGGATGATTCCATATCAATATGGCTAATTGTGACTCTGTTGTTCTTGAGAAGAAGATTTTTTTTCTATATATTCCTATACAAAACTTTGATCCCTCATTGTGGCCCCACCCTACCCCCGGGGGTCATGATTTGAACAAACTTGAATCTACACTACCTGAGGATGATTCCATATCAATATGACTAATTGTGGCTCTGTTGTTCTTGAGAAGAAGATTTTTTAAGATTTTCCCTATATATTCCTATGTAAAACTTTGATCCCCATTGTGGCCCCACCCTACCCCCGGGGGTCATGATTTGAACAAACTTGAATCTACACTACTTGAGGATGATTCCATATCAATATGACTAATTGTGACTCTGTTGTTCTTGAGAAGAAGATTTTTTTTCTATATATTCCTATACAAATCTTTGATCCCTCATTGTGGCCCCACCCTACCCCTGGGGGTCATGATTTGAACAAACTTGAATCTACACTACCTGAGGATGATTCCATATCAATATGACTAATTGTGGCTTTGTTGTTCTTGGGAAGAAGATTTTTAAAGAATTTTCCTATATATTCCTATGTAAAAATTTGATCCCCCATTGTAGCCCCACCCTACCCCCAGGGGTCATGATTTGAACAAATTTGAATCTACACTACCTGAGGATGATTCCATATCAATATGACTAATTGTGGCTTTGTTGTCTTGAGAAGAAGATTTTTAAAGATTTTCCCTATATATTCCTATGTAAAACTTTGATCCCCCATTGTGGCCCCACCCTTCTCCCGGGGGTCATGATTTGAACAAACTTAAATCTACACTACCTGAGGATGATTCCATATCAATATGACTAATTGTGGCTTTATTGTTCTTGAGAAGAAGATTATTAAAGATTTTCCCTATATATTCCTATGTGTAACTTTGATCCCCCATTGTGGCCCCACCCTACCCCTGGGGGTCATGATTTGAACAAACTTGAATCTACACTATGTAATGAAGGTTTCACATATGTATAAACTTTTCTGGCTCAATGGTTCTTGAGAAGAAGATTTTTAAAAGATGACACCAAATTTTCACCAATTCTTAATTATCTCCCCTTGGAAGAGGGCGTGGCCTTTCATTTGAACAAACTTGAATCCCCTTCACCCAAGGATGCTTTGTGGCAAGTTTGGTTGAAATTGGCCCAGTGGTTCTGGAGAAGAAGTCGAAAATGTGAAAAGTTTACAGACGGACGGACAGACGGACAGACAGACGGACTACAGACAAAATGTGATCAGAAAAGCTCACTTGAGCTTTCAGCTCAGGTGAGCTAACAAAAGTAAATCGCAATTTTTGTATCAAAGATTATGCAGAGTGGGTATCTTGAGTACCACTGTATCAAATACGGAGTCTGATTACAATGGAGTAATGGGGCAATTCCTGTCATCAGGAGATCTGTGAGACATTGTTTAGTACATAAAAATGGCACAAAGAGTCTAACAAACATTGAAAATAAAAAAAAAGAAAGAAAATATTGTACATCATCAGATGGTGTAGAGAAATTGCTAATTATACTGATCTTTAATTTCTGTATATGTGTTGCCTTATTCTGCTTAAAAGTACATTTTTTTAAAAATAAAAATTGCATTTCAAATGAAAGTTTTAGGTGCAAAATATTTAAATACAGTACTTTGTAGAGTGCATTCTAGAGAATTAGGAAAGATAGATGGGGGATAGTATCTGGACACATTTTGTTAGAGTTGATTGGGGTTAAATATAGAATTGTCGTGGCCCAAACCTCGTACACAGCGACTTATACCACACCTGTCTACAAAGCTACTACGGGATCTTGATCTCCTAGCTGAAATAAAGACGCACATCAATGGCAAACTCAATACAGTAGAAAATTATCCGCACAGAAACTAGATTGGTGGAAACTATCAAGCGCACAGTACAACAGATGTGAATTATAAACTACTGTTCAGATTTTTATCCCGGAAACAATGTACAAAAATAAAATATCAGATACACTAGTCTTTACCTACCGAACCGAATCTGTGCATCATAAGGTATGCCTCAGCGGTTGGATTCATTCCTAGATGCTCCAACTTCCAACCAATCAGCTGTCAAAAATAATTCCACTATTTAAACTCTCTTAGAATATGACAAGTTCTCAACAGTTAAATTAATGCCAAAAATTGAGCTTGTTCTAGGACTTAAAGAGAACCTCTAACATAATGATATTCTTTTACCCCGATTATATAGTGCTGTTTTTAGTTTGTGTGTTTGTCCGTTATTTAGACGGAGTTTATAAGTTGAGGATATTTTGATTTTTTTTCCTTCTATACTGTGCTGTTTTTGTTTTGTCTTTGTTTGTGTGTTTGTCTGATATATAGACAGACTTTGTAAGTTAATGATATTTTGATTTTTCCATTCTATACTGTGCTGTTTTGTCTTTGTCTGTGTGTTTGTCCATTATTTAGACAGACTTTGTAAGTTAATGATATTTTGATTTTTCCCTTCTATACTTGCTGTTTTGTCTTTGTGTGTTTGTTACTTAGATAGTTTTGTAAGTTAAGGATATTTTGATTTTTCCCTTCTATACTGTGTTGTTTTGTCTTTGTGTGTGTGTTTGTTACTTAGATAGTTTTGTAAGTTAAGGATATTTTAATTTTTCCCTTCTATACTGCGCTGTTTTGTCTTTGTGTCTGTGTGTTTGTTATTTAGATAGTTTTGTAAGTTAAGGATGTTTGATTTTTTCCTTCTATATACTGTGTTGTTTTGTCTATGTCTGTGTGTTTGTCTGACCTTATCCTTGAGCCCCTCCATGATTCCAGCAGTTGTTCCAGTGCAGTGGATCAGGACGACTCCTAATACACGTGCAGGCTGGGCCATCTACAAAAACAACAAGAAGCTATTTATATATCAGGCTATTACGGTCTACAAAATTAGTGCCAATAAGTACCTTGGACACTAAGAAAATTTAGAATATGGGAGAGGTGGTTTTTTTTTTTTTTAGATCTACAGCTGTACCACAATTTTTAATTTCAAAAACTCTGTACCTAAAACATGAAATTTTTTGACATGAAAGAAAAACATAAGTAATCAGAGATTACAGAGCAGTCCTCAACGAATGTTGTCTTTAAGTAAGGCAAAGTCCCACACTAAACTAATAATCTAGGAGTGTGCATCCCTAGATGCAACATTTATGCAATTTTGGTCTGATAGGGCTTGCAGTTACTTGGGAATAGACTTATCTGAAAACTTAAAACTAGTCACTCATCCAGAAAATGTAAGTCAAATCCAGCATCCGAAGCAAGTTTTGAGATTGTTTGTCCCTTGATGCATCATCCATGCAAGTTTGGTTCAGATAGGCCTTATAGTTACTTGGAAATGAGATCTGCTCCAAAAACTTTAACCTGGTTACTCATCCAGAAAATGTAGGTCAGATCCAGCATCCGAAGCAAGTCTAGTAGTGTACATCCTTAGATGTATCATCCATGTAAGTTTGGTCAATATAAGGTTTATAGATACTTGGAAATGACATTTGCTCCAAAAACTTTAGCCTGGTCACTCATCCATAAAATATAGGTCAGATTCAGCATCCTAAGCAAGTCCAGTAGTGTGCATCCTTAGATGTATCATCCATGCAAGTTTGGTCAATATAGGGCTTATAGTTACTTGGAAATGAGATCTGCTCCAAAAACCTTAACCTGGTCACTCATCCAGAAAATATAGGTCAGATCCAGCATCCGAAGCAAGTCCAGTAGTGTGCATCCTTAGATGTATCATCCATGCAAGTTTGGTCAATATAGGGCTTATAGTTACTTGGAAATGAGACCTGCTCCAAAAACCTTAACCTGGTCACTCATCCGGAAAATATAGGTCAGATCCAGCATCCGAAGCAAGTCCAGTAGTGTGCATCCTTAGATGTATCATCCATGCAAGTTTGGTCAATATAGGGCTTATAGTTACTTGGAAATAAGACCTGCTCCAAAAACTTTAACCTGCTCCAAAAACATTAACCTGGTCATTCTTTAGCTGAAATTGCAGCATCTGAAACCTTGACCGGTACAATAAAACACACTAGAAGCATCCTCCATGCATCTTTGACTAATATAGGCCATAGAAGTACCTGAAAAGAAAACTGCTCCAAAAACCTTAACCTGGGACGCCGACGCTGAGGGTATTACATAAGCTCTCCCAACTTCGTTGAGGTGAGCTAAAAGAACATCTTTATGCAAACATATATTTGAACACAGCAGTGAAAATAGAAGTTAGGTCTTACATTGGTTGTATCTGATTTACAGGGCCTTGAGGAGACAGTCCATTTTAAATAACGGAATTAATCTTTCTGCTTTCTTGTCTTGCTAATCAACTTTCAATAACTTATCCCAAAACTAAGATAACTGTCATGGTAAAGAAGTTGCTTTATCAAGTAAACCCAGCATAAGCTAGTCTGCATTATCTGGTAGAGACAGTGAAATAATGACTCAGCCATTGACAATACGATCATTGAGAATTATCATAGAGTGTCAACATTTGTGGGTGTGGGTGGGGGGGGGGGGGGGGGGGGAGATGTATAGGAAGACTAAATCTCAAGTGTTTTTTTTTTTTTTTATTTTCTCCTTCATCAGTTTCCTGTGATGATTTAGCCACTCTCTTGTTTCTCTGTGGTAAGTAGCATTTCAGTTAAACTTGTTTGAGACCTCTGTTTGATCATATTCTACCAATCATGCACTATAAATAATCTGTGAATTAAAGTGAACATTTATTAGTAACTGGAAAGTTGAATAGGCCTTGGGGGTCTATTTCATTGGGGATTCAGTCAAAACTACTTATAATTTTATTACATTTTACAAACATTATGGTGATTAATTATTGGTCAAAGGCACTTCCCAATATCCAGAGTCTAACAATTGACTGTTGTAGCTAGAGTTTACTCCAGTGGGAATACATAATGAAATTTACATAATTTTACTCCATCATCTCCTAACTGAACCTACTATGTTTACTATTCTAAAATACAGTAGGACTTAAGCATATTACATAAATACAGGAATATATCAAGTGAGTTGACAGTTACAATTCAAGTTCCTACTCTGATTACTCAACCCCTTATATATTTTTGTCAATTCTGCGGTAGTTTGACTGTATTATAAAACTGCTCACTGAATAGCACACAAATTTTTAATAGCTTTATCTGAGTCACAAAGAGTAACTGTAACTAGGAGACAAGGCAAATCGTTCTTCATTAAGTAATTAATTCAATGGCCTTTCTGACAATCACAACCTGACACTCAATATCGCTGTTAATTAATTACCACTGAAATACAGGAAAAATCAATGTGAAAAGATAGGGAATTAAGTTCTGCAGCTCTGATGTAATCACTGCTAATGGTTGTCACTTAGCAGAGATATTATCCAGAGATTATTACATATAAATCATCATTTGATAAAGAGCCTGCAACAATGAACTCTCAGAAAAGTGGCTTTTTAACCTAGGTCAGCTAAATCATATTTTATGCTAGCAATATAAAGCAAGTATGCACAACCTTTGATTTTAACACTCTGTAAATTGTTTATTTGTACAGTTGGAGACCAGTATAAAGAGGAAATCTGACACTTGAGGAGCAAAGTTGAAGGGGAATTTGACCATATTTATCTGGATAGAGGAGCAGTGTTGGAGGAGAGTTTAGCAATGTTTATCTGACTTGAGGAGTGTTTGATGTTTTAGCAATGTTTATCTGACTTGAGGAGTGTTTGATGTTTTAGCAATGTTTACCTGACTTGAGGAGTGTTTGATGTTTTAGCAATGTTTATCAGACTTGAGGAGTGTTTGATGTTTTAGCAATGTTTATCAGACTTGAGGAGTGTTTGATATTTTAACAATGTTTATCTGGCTTGAGGAGTGTTTGATGTTTTAGCAATGTTTATCAGACTTGAGGAGTGTTTGATGTTTTAGCAATGTTTATCTGTCCTGAGGAGTGTTTAACAGTTTAGCAATATATATCTGGCTTTCTCTCCATCTTTAAAATGTCTGCCATTCCTCATCTCTATAATTTCTCATGAGTGACTCCTCCCCCTCTTACCCTGCTACATGTTAGCATATGATGTGAGTACATTTATGAAACAAATGTGTTTTTATTCTTTTATTTCAGTTATATACTGAATATACTGAATTCAGTATTTAAAACTTGTTTGGAATGTCAACCCTGCTGAAATGTTATATACAATGGGCCAGTGGGCTGATGGGAAGTCCTATACTGCTTATGGATGCCCACTAAGTTAACACCAAGAGTTGTTCACTGCCATCAAAGGATACAAATTCTAAAGTCAATGCTTCAGATGTCAGACATTTTCACTATCAATAATTTCACACTGGTACTTGTCAAATGCCATCAGATGTTAATGTTTCTTTATTGATTGTACAACACTGCTGTTGTAAACTTATTGCAATATTTTGTGGCTTCTCCCCTTTGTATTTAAAGCTACAAGATTTTTATTGCTTTTCAATTACATGCAGACAAATTAGTTACTGGGGGGAAGTATCAGATTTCCAACTGTATAAACATAAATAAAGGAACATAAAAAGAACGTACAGCAAACCTGGCCAGTATGTTAGCCCCTGCTCCCTCTCCGACTCCCACTACCTGCTTAATGCTGTAAAACATCGAAGATTCACACAGTATTAATTAAAATATAAACAACCAACAATCAACATTTTACAATATACACCATCAATGAGTACAGTGTGATTTCAGATGATGATATAAAATAAATTACAGCTACATGAATAAAATGCTTCAGTCTGAATATCTCAGGTTTGCACCCATAAATTTATATTAATCAGTGTTTATAATATACTCTCTCAGAACTAGGTGCATACGTACTCGAGTTGGTCCAAAATACAGACAAGATCTTCTCCTAAACTCTGCATACTAGGGAAGTTATAGCTGGAATAAAAATGTTAAGGGGAGTTAATCTCTGGAAAAAAAATCACTAAGGGAGATAATCCCTGTATATCAGAGTCGATTACAAAAATCAGGGAGAGTTAATCATTGGAGGAGGGAGAGCTTAAGATTGTATGAACTGCTTTAATTATCACTGAACAAAAATGGAGGGAAGGTCATTATAAACAATCAGGGGGAAAATTGCTTTAAATCAATTGCACATCATGAATACTATCAAACACCCCTCCTAGTATATACCTAAGGGAGGGGGCATAATAGGATATTTTCATGCAAGCTTTAATTTTCTTACAGTTCAGTTAATTTCAAACATTTTCAAACATTTAAACATACAATGTTCCTCACTGTTTAATACTCTTGAAGCTTGCTTCATTTTTACAATTGTTCTTCACTTGGAACAGAACTTTGTGTAAATAGGGGGTCATGATTTTAACAATTTAAAATCTACACTACCCCAGGATGTTTCCGTATAAGTTTCAGCTTTACTGGCCAAGAGGTTCTTGAGGAGAAAATTTTTAAAGATTTTTCCTATATATTTCAATGTAAAACTTGAATTCCCTATTGTGGCCCCGCCCTACCCCCAAGGGTCAAGATTTGAATAGTTTAGAATTTACGCTGCCCCAGGATGCTTCTACAAAAGTCTTAGCTTTTCTGACCAAGTGGTTCTTGAGAAGAAGAAGATATTTCAATATAAAAATTGGATTCCCTATTGTGGCTGCACCTTGCCTCCAGGGGTCATGATTTTTACAATTTAGAATCTACACTACCCAAGGATGCTTCCACATAAGTTTCAGCTTTTCTGGCCCAATGGTTCTTGAGAAAAAGATTTATAAAGATTTCTTCTATATATTTCAATGTAAAACTTGGATTCCCTATTGTGGCCCCGCCCTTCCCCCGGGGGGTCATGATTTTAACAATTTAGAATCTGCACTATCCCAGCATGCTTCCACATAAGTTTCAGCTTTTCTGGCCATGTGGTTCTTAAGAAGAAGATTTTTAAAGATTTTTTCTTAGTATTTCAATGTAAAACTTGGTTTTACTATTGTGGCCCCGCCCTTCCCCTGGGGGTCATGATTTTAACAACTTAGAATCTACACTACCCAAGGAAGCTTCCACATAAGTTTCAGCTTTTCTGGCCCAATGGTCCTTGAGAAGAAGATTTTTAAAGATTTTTTCTATGTATTTCAATGTAAAACATGGATTCCCTTTTGTTGCCCCACCCTTCCCCCAGGGGTCATGATTTTAACAATCTAGAATCTACACTACCCCAGGATGTTTCCACATAAGTTTCAGCTTTTCTGGCCTAGTGGTTCTTGAGAAGAAGATTTTAAAAGATTTTTTCTTAGCATTTCAATGTAAAACTTGGATTCCCTATTGTTGCCCCACCCTTCCCCCGAGGGGTCATGATTTTAACAATTTAGAATCTACACTACCCCAGAATGCATCCACATAAGTTTCAGCTTTTCTGGCCCAGTGGTTCTTGAGAAGAAGATTTTTTAATGACCCCACCCTATTTTTGTCTTTTCTTGATTATCTCCCCTTGTAAGGGGGTTTGGCCCTTTATTTTAACAATTTAAACTCCCCTTCACTCAAGGATGCTTGGTACCAAATTTGGATAAAATTGGCCCAGTGGTTCTTGAGAAGAAGTTGAAAATGTGAAAAGTTTACAGACGGACAGACAGACAGAAGGACGGACGGACGACGGACAACGGGTGATCAGAAAAGCTCACTTGAGCTTTCAGCTCAGGTGAGCTAAAAAAATATTTTTAATCAAAATTATTGCATCACAATGGTCACATATAATTTTGACTGGTGACTTTAACCTGTGACACAATGCTTTCATAATCCTCTAATTCCAGTCTGAAAATTATACAACAGTATATAATATGAAGACTGTATGATACATATTGTCTATTATTGCTTCACAATGATCATATCAGTAATCTTGAACTTCGACCTTGATTTTTGTTCTAAGTGAACACAAAACTGAGGGTGTTTACCCCTAACCACCCTCTCACTGTAAAATTTTATGAAGTCTGAAGACAGAAAGGTACTCAAGTTTATGGATGGACAGACAGACATTCAATATGATGAACACTGTGATTACATATATATTATTATAACAGTAACTTGATCCGAGGAGCCGTATCACGTCGAGTTGACAGGCGCAGATCATCAGATCAAACAAGACGCGAAGCGTCGAGTTTGATCTGATGATCCGTGCCTGTCAACGAGACGTGATACGGCTCTTCGGATCAAGTTACTGTTATAATGATAAATTTATTATATACCCCTTTACAACTAGCAAAGTATAATAAAAGGAAAACTTTTTTGGATCAATTACATAACTTTTATCCATTAAACAAACCATTTTGTCAAGGAACTTTTTGATGCGCAAGAATAAAAACGTCATTTATCTGTGTACTACGTCATCAGTTTCAGAGAGGGGTGATATGGATTCAGAAAACCACAGTGTGGTGATCTGGAAAGTCGGATCACACTCTGTAAAATTAACAGTAACAAAAACAAGGAAATTGATGGGTATATAATAAAATAGGGCACCTGTATCTTGATATAAGGCCTTTATAAAAAAAAAATCTTAATATAAGCAAGCCTCTAAGTGGCATCTAAAATTTAGGTGCCATCTTGTGCCTTATCAAACAAATTTAGTCGCCAATGCAAATTTTTAGTCATCAGGCAATTTTGTTTTAAGGCGCCAATTTTAAAATTTAAAAGTAATCAATATAGGGACCCACGACGTGACTAAGAAAACATGGCATGTCCACTGCTAAAAAATAATTTCATCTTCTTTTAAATTTCTTTTCGCTTTTTCAGAAAAATTGTTAAAAATGTTAAAATTTCCAGAATCTGATGATCGCCAAGTCAGTTTACAATGGTCGCCAAGTTGGCAACTTATGGAAATTTTTTAGGGCCCTAAACAAAAATTTTAGGCGCCATGGCAACTAAATTAGTTGCCAATTAGAGCCCTGATAAGAAATACTTCAACTTATTAATTCATTAGCTCTGCTCATAAATGTTTTGTAAATAAGATAAAAATTCAGTATTACTGAGGTTGTTATAGGACAATGATTTTTTTTTCAGGACGCACTGCTTATTGATGTTAATTTCATGCTCACAATTTTTAACAATAATCTTGCTAGGTAATTGAATTTCCTTTGTTCAAAATTACAAAGATGGTAAATACTCACTACATAATTCATCTTGACACACTTATACAATTGATATTCACCCAAGCTACACATGCACATTTAATAAAAAGATTTTTTTCTTTTAAAGCATGAACAGTTGAAATTGAATTAATTGTGTCATTTAAAAAAAGGTCTATGGAGAACTGTCATCTTTCTGGGAACAATGGAATATCTATTATCTAACAAATAAAATTCTTCAATATATAACCACTGCTCTTTAAGATTTCAGCCATTTCATTTTGTAGATTGATTTTTAACTTCAGATAAAAAGGCTTGAGAACTCATGCCCTGATTTTCTTCATTTATGAACACAAGTTCTGAATAATTCTTTGGCTGCCTGACAATAAAAATCTCAGCATCGTTAATGTGTGTAGTATGATATCCATGATCATCAGGCATCTCTCTCTCTCTCTCTCTCTATATATATATATATTAGATATATATATATTAGACATCACCACAGGAGACCAGACTGAATGGACGTGCCTCGTGGTTGTCCGAATTCATTTCAAATTCATTAGCTATCAACATCAAAATTTAAATTGTAAAACTGTAAATATATAGAGTTAAGTAGCGTAATTGTAGTGCTAGATGTTTTGTTTTCATCTGTTCTGTTTTTATGAGTTTTTAACCTCTTCTATGTCTTTAGGGTCAGGGCATCCCGAAAATTTGACGTTTGTTTGTGTCGTTGATCATTTTTAGTGCTTTATCATGTTTATATATAATTATATTAAAATAAAACAAACAGCTAAAACTATTTTGCTACTATTATGCTTACTTTAGTTCTGGAGCCAATATCAGACACTTTATTGGGAGATTTATATTATGAAAAGAATAACAAGTTGCAGAAACCAAGGGAAAAGTTCGGATAAAAATTCTGTCTAGGTGTCTGTATAACTTCTGAATAAATTTTCCCTTAAGGCATGGCAAGAATAGAATAGCATTCTCATTAGAATGTCATCGTTGTCATTTGAATTACAGATTCCCTCAATTATACTGTGGAAATAAAGTTGTCCTTTTTTAAGCTGTAAAGTATGGGAATCTGTAGGAATATCTAGCTATTGCTCAAATTAACTAAGTCTGAATGGCAAAACATTTCCTGTTTTTAAGCAGGATAGCTAAGGTACAGATTTAGCTTCATCAACAGCCTTCTAAACTATACTTAAAAGTTATTGCTTTCAGATTTTTAATTTTTATATAACCTTGTTCATATTTTGGAAAAGTTCTAGTCCCGAAGATTTTCATTAACAAGGGACCACTGCTTCAGTTGATGGCTGCATCAATTAGTGTGTTTATCCGTGTTCCTGCTATAAGCTTTTTGAAGCTAACTACATCAGTTCAGTGTTACTGCTATAAGCTAGCTGTATCAGTTTGTGTGTGTTTATCATTATTACTGCTATAAGCTATAAGCTAACTACATCAGTTTGTGTGTGTTTATCAGTATTACTGCTATAAGCTATAAGCTAACTACATCAGTTTGTGTGTGTTTATCAGCATTACTGCTATAAGCTATAAGCTAACTACATCAGTTTGTGTGTGTTTATCAGTATTACTGCTATAAGCTATGAAGCTAACTGCATCAGTTTGTGTGTGTTTACCAGTGTTCCTGCTATAAGCTATGAAGCTAACTACATCAGTTTGTGTGTGTTTATCAGTATTACTGCTATAAGCTATGAAGCTAACTACATCAGTTTGTGTGTGTTTATCAGTATTACTGCTATAAGCTAACTACATCAGTTTGTGTGTGTTTATCAGTATTACTGCTATAAGCTATAA